ACCACACAATGTCTGAGGAGGTCTGCCCCCCTGCACTATTAATTTTAAATGTTTTGATTCATGGCATTTAATAGCAAAAACAAAAGGTTTTACTTGACAGTATATTTTAGAAATATGAGTTTTTAAACCTGATGCAGAGAACGCCCACATAAATATTTGAACACCTACTCTTGTTCTTCATTGCCCATTCTAACACCAGATCGCTAGCAACTTGTTTTCTGAATTGGGTTTCTTTCTGACCGGTTTTACTTGAGTTTATGAATGACGGATTTTGGAACTTGGGGTGTTCACATTTTGTAAAAATTTGCCCTTGTGTTGTTTTATGATGGAAATGGGAAAAAATCCAAGCATCTCAAAGTCTGCTTTGAGCTTTTTCAGCTGTTGCGTAAAGTCTTAAAAAAAAACGTTCCTGTGATTCAGAAATCATGTCTGTGATGCAAATGTAGTGCATTGTGACAAGCCAGGAACTGAGTGCAATGGCTGTAATTTGCATGAGAGTGTGGAGGATGCTCTGATTGCTGTGTTTGCTCTTACGGTTTTGAATGAAAGAGGATCAGAACATTGCGATTCCTTTCCTGGAAGTGTTTTGCTCCCTCAAACCTGCCGCGTAAAGCTGGACGAAGAAAGTTGAAGGAAAAAGTGAGCAGGACCCCCCTGACCTTTGCCCCTCAGTGGGCTGTTTCGGAGCGCCCTGAGCAGGGGAGGGAAAGAGCGAGTGTGTGTGTGTGTGTGCGCGCGCGCGCAACGGCTATGTGCTTTAACAATGACTTTGTTGTTTTGTCGTGTCAGTGTGTAAGAGTTGAGAAAAGAGGGGGAAAAAAATCCACACATTCCTTTTTGTGCTACTTCCTTCCAGGCTGAGTCACCGCTGGCGAGTGGGAAGGTCTGCGGAGCGCGAGCGCGAGCCGCGGAGCAGCGTCCGAGTGAGCGAGCGAGGGAGAGAGAGGGATCCGACCAAGCCCCCCTCGCCCAGGAGACCGTCTCCGAGCGCAGGGCTCGCCGTGGAGCCACCATGAGCGATGTCACCATTGTCAAGGAAGGATGGGTACAGAAAAGGGGTGAGTACCCCCCTCTCCTGGGGACAGCGCTCGTGTGTGTGTCCCGTACGGGACGAGGCTCTGCGCAGATGGAGGCCACTTCCCCCTGGGGCTCTGTTCCTGCCCTCCCGGCTGGGGGGGGCGAGGGGTCGTGCTGATCGCTGTGCTGTCTGTGGCACCAGTCCTCCCGCGTGCTCGGTGCCGGGAGGGGGGTCGCAGGACTGGGTGGTAGCAGGCATGTGCTTGCCCAGTGCTTCAGACTCGTTCCCGCTCCTGCTCTGTGTGGAGTCAATGAGTGAGTTTCTGTACATTTCATTCTCACAGATTGTTCTGAGCGTAATCATCCCTGTCTGAAGGTTTATATCGTGTGACAGAACTGGTCTGTATTTGTTTTTCTATCTCCACGATAGTTTGTATTTTAACTAGCATCTCATCCTCGGGGTCTTGCTTAAAATTGCCTCAGAACTGTACTGTAACAGGGAGAATATTGGAGGAGAGTCTCGGGAAGGTTCAGCACTATAGAACTGTAAGGCAGGCGATGCTGTAGATGTTTTCTGATGTGAACTTCACTGTTTTTGAGAGAGGTGTAATTCTGGTGGGTTTGCTTATTGGTGCCAGGCAGCGGTTGTGTTTGTGTGATCACGTGCTGCTACACCCGACGAGCCGAGTCCTGGTGTTGGTGTGGATGTGGGGAAGCGCGGGGGCTTGAGGCTGAGGGGTGGACTGCGGTGTGGGGGCGGCTGGGGGTCTGACTGTGGAGAAGCTGGGAAAGCCGTCACTCACAGCAACTTCAGGAACTGCCTGTATCCCCTCGACAACAACATAAGTGCTGTCTTGAGCGGGTCAGGAGACCTTGGTGGGTTACTGTAGCTCTGCTCTTTCACCTTGTCTGAGGGTGTTGCAGAGACGTCTTGCCACCCTCTGTGCAGCGCAGGATTATTGTCTAATATATGACGTATGAATTTTGACTGGTAAATATTTTGGTTACATTTGGGACATCTTTGGTAGTACTGAAGAAATGGAGCAAATTCAGGTCATCCTGTCTCTTAAAACCGTTCCAAAGTGCATCTTGAACATACCTGTAAGACTAAACCATTAATGTGTATTTCTATCTGATCAGGTAATATTTTTTGCTACTTAATACTTAATACCAGCCTCTTGTTTTGATTAATTTAACCATGTGGGCAGTTCTAAACCATGTCTGCTGCTCCTTGTGTCATGTTGATTTTTGCACATTGTGGGTCAGGTAATTGAAGCACTGAGTTTTTTGGTCCCAAGTAGAATCAGCAAAACCATTTATCCTGTGCTACTAATTAACGACTCTATAGCATTATGATATGTGCCATTTCAGCTCCGATTTCTCTTGACATGATCCAGAGATGTCCTCGTGTGTTTAGCACACGTTACATGAAATGTTTTTCCATCATCACTGTTGCAGAGTGTGATGCATTTAACACTTCTGGTGTGAAGCAGGATACATGTCAGGGAGGTTTTAGACTGAAACGGAAGGAGCTGTTGGTGATGAAGCATTTCTGCGGGTGTGATGCTGTTTTTCCCGGAGAAAGTGGTCCTCCTTGATTTGGGAACATTGAGTGCTTAGGTTCTGTTCCAAGAAAGGCTTTTAAACTTGGCCTGAACTGTGTAGGACTGAGAGTAGGTGCTACCCTACTCATAGAGCTGTGGGTTTGTGGGACAGAGCTGTTTCAGGATGACATTCTCAAACTGAATGTGATCCATTATTAACAACCTCCCTTCCCTTAAGTTTTCTTATGTAAGTGCATTATGAATATGGCATGGGAGGAAGGTTGGCCTAAATCTGGCCTTTCTCACAGTGGGTACAGAGCTTTTGGCTCCCTGATGCCTGATAGAACCCGCCGCCCCGGCTCCCTGCAGCCTCTCTGTGCAGACTTGCCCTTTCGGATCCTGCGCTCAGCTGGGAAGCATGGGCTGGCCCGGCAGCCCCTCCCCCCCACTGGCCCCCACGCGCCCGCTCTGCCGCAAGAGCCTGCTAGCCTGGCTCGTCACTGGCTGCCTTCAGCGTGAGATTCTTAAAAATAGAGCCGGCTGGGTCAGGGGAGAATGACAGCATCGTTTCCTGTTTACTGCAGTTTGAGCGGCGCTCTTCTGCGAAGGGCCCAGCTGCACACACCCTGCAGGCACGACTGCGAGAAGCGGTCAGGACAGCCCCGGTCTTGTGCCCTTTTCATTCCCCTCGCTCCCTGCGAGAGGCTGGGTGCCCACGTGTCAGCTGAGCTGCGCGGAGAACTTCGTGTTCCACATTTTAAGATTGAAGCTCTCGACTTCAGTGCGGCGCGTCCTGCACCCGTCATGTGGCCGTATACATGGTAGAAATAGAACACGTCCAGAGGAGTACGTGTGCACTGCTGAGCTAAGGCCTCAGTTTCAGTGATTCTAATGGGAGAACAGATTTGCTCTTCTCCTCTGTGCAGGAAGTCTTGATTCTGTTCTGCTTGCTCTCCTTCAAATGGTGAAGTAGTCCCTTCTGTGAGCTGCCGTCTGTGGGATTGTGACTGAATGCACCTAATTCAGAACCCCCCCTGAAAAGGCTTAGAGATTTTAATTCTATGCACTATGCACTGACACTCCTCAGTACCTGATTCTGACAGATTTGTGCTGGGTGTAAAATGTCCTCACGGGGAAAAAACCTGGAAGTCGCGTTAGTCTTCGCAATGACCCAACCAGTAGTTCTTCCTTCTGACCAGTTTTTAATTCCCTTGCATGGCTCTGGGTAAGACTACAGGTCTGGCAGATGTGCGAGGGGGTTTTCACTCGGTTGTGTTTTTTAGTAATTTTTTTTTGGGTTGTTAGTTAAAAAACGATCTCAACACCCAAAAAGGTGTTGCTGAGCAAGCTGCGTCAGGAAAAACCCTGGTTGGTCATGAAACCAAAGTAAATTCCCCTACAAGCCCAAATACTGCTTTCCTCTACTGTTGCTCCTAGGGCTGTTCTTACTGACATTGAGTGGTATTATGTCTATATCACAAACAGGCGTGTCAGCGTGGTACAGATGTCTTCACCAGTCAAAGCACAGAACCCCATCTTTTAAGGATTTCCTGAGCCTCTAAAGATATCAGTTTAAAAGTTAAGGATGCTGCCTTGGGGCGATGAATCTCATTAGAAATACAGGACCATGTTCTGACAGGTGGGCTTCCGTGGGGTCCCCAGGGAGGGTGTGCTGTGTGGCCCGGCGCAGGCCGGGACCGCCGTGAGCCCGCGGAGTCGGTCGGGGTTGTGGGCCGTCCAGCGGACACTGGGAGCTTCGGAGGCTGTTCCTGAGTGGCATGCAGCTTCTGGACCAGAGGGCACTGCAGCTCTGATGCGTCAGAGGCTCGACCCCGGGGCCGGAGTGGACTGCAAGGTCATCTCCGCTGACCGGCGCTTGAGCACGTCCGGGATGCCCTACGAAGGAAGGCCCGTTGCCATGGCAGCACCCCCGGAGATGCTGGGCCTCTGCTGTGAGGGAAGAGTTGAGGAGAATCTGGCTGGAACGTCTGTTTTTTTTAAGTCCCAGCGTTTGGTGAACTCCCTGCAGGTTGGCAGCGCACATTGCATGTGAGAGGGAGCTCGTTACTACTGCTGCCACTCGAGTACAGCGCTTCCCTGTGGTCACTGTAGGGGCCATTCTTTGCTTGTGTCACAGATCGCATTGACCGCTCGAAAACTGAGCCCTGTGGTCACTGGTGGCCATCCGCTGCCTACGTCACAGGTCACTGTGACCACGTGCTGTATTGACCAGAGTGCCTGTGCTTCTTGCTGGTTTCAGTTACAAAGGTTTTTCTTTTTGGTTTGGTCCTATTATGCAGCTGTGTATTTAAAAAAAAAAGAGAAATGCACCAGGGCTCCTGGAGGCCTGTGTGA